CTTTTACTTTATGTTCTTGCTTACAGGCAGGAACTTGTTATAAAGCATACTATAATCTTTGCATAAAAATCATCTCAACTGCAAAATTCATGGATCTGGAACCCAAAGTGGTAAAATATTTGTTTTTACAAATATTAAAAATATTAGAAGCCTCTATGATAGACAATTAAGGTGTATTTTTATGTTTAGTCCTGTGGTGCATGTATAGTTAATTATGTCATCAACCGTTCATAACAGTTTATATTTTAAGAAATATATGAGAATATAGCATTTAACTTATTCCAAGAATTTAGTCACCTTCAAAGCTGTATGGTGTTTGCAAACCTAGAACTAAATTTGTTATCACTAGCTAAGTAAAGACAGGCCCAAAGGGGATTTTTAGAGATTGAGATCTAGGTTTACCTTCCATAGCAGAGTCTCTATGTTTTGTCATTAATGAAAGTCGTATAGGACACAATTCATGTTTCTAGAGTCTGTGAGATAGGAGGAAAGAATATTTGAGCTCTTTACAGAAGATTAATATGAAGTACACTTTCTTGGGAACCTTGAGAACTAAATTACTGCTCTTACAGACCCCATATAATCGCGTAAGCCCTGGCTGTGCCTGAGTGTGTGGGTCCAGTAGTTTAAAAAGCTTCATTCTACTCTAGGAAAAAAGTCATATTACATCTGCTAGGCATCTGGCATTTCCGTTGAATTAAGTTATTTGGGCCCAATATGCATCCTTTTGTTACTCATTTTGCTTCACAGTTTCAGACTCAACATTTACCCTCATTCTCCTCACCAATGGCTGCGATCTGAAATTAGATGTGGCGGCAGCCAGCACTTCCCATCCTGTAGCGTGCTCTTGACTGCACTGGTTCTGCTACCGGTGGCAGGGCTGCAACTGATAAGGGAAGCTGGTGATGCAGGTGTGTCTGTGGCACCATTACAGGCTCTGATAAACGTCTGGCTGACAATGACAGGCCAGTTGTCTGGAAAAGGCAATTTGAAAAACAGCATACATACAGATGTCCTGGTGGCTGAAAGAGCTGAGTGAGTCATGGTACCATTTGGCCAGAAGGTCTCCCTCCTTCCTGGACGAGAGCGATGAGGATGAAGTGCCAACTGTGCAGCAGAGGGTCTGCGAGGAGGCGGGGTCCTGAGCTCCTTCAGAGCAGCCCTCACTCTTTGTGCCCTTTAAATTAACTGCGAGCGGTGACAGCCCAAACCATGCCTGCTGAATGCGAGAGTGAGGAGCCGGAATATTGTCCCAGAGAAACTTGGAATAGCCGTCCACCCAGCCTTTGTGCTCATCTATTTAATCTTTTATTGAAGTATAAGACACGTACAGAACAGTGCGTAATCTCAAGTATATGACACGATGGATTTTCACAATGAACGCGTCTGTGTGCCATCACCCAGATCAGGAAACAGAGTGCTCCCAAGCTCCCCCGACAATCTTCCAGTCCTCACCCCCTGCCCCTGCTCCAGGGCAACCACTGTGCTGCCTTCTGATAACAACGGATTAATGTTGCCTGTTTTTATACTTTTGTTTCTGGTTGCTTTTGCTCAACATTATGTTTTGTGAGATTCATCCCTACTGTTGCTGGAATAACAGTTCTTAATCTAGTCCACATTCACTCTGATGTTTTAGTACTTTAACTCATTCATATACTCATAAAATGTAATTTTTAGGATGGACACAAGCTCATTGAACTTTAAATGATGCTTTAGTCCTGGCTATAGCAGACTTCATAGTTTCAGACCTGATGTTAGACACACACTTTTGAAAGCTAGTGTACATCATTAGGCATTTCCCATGTTTTAGTGGTAGCCTTGTGCTGGATCACGTGTTCTTCTCTGGGGCTAGGCTCTTTAGAGACTGAAGCTTCAGATGGATTCCATTCACTCCCTCCATGGTGATAAGGGATCTCCTTTGCCTACAGGTGATAGAACTTGAACTATCTTGGGTCTTTGTAGAATTTATTGAAAAGCATCCCAGAAAGGGAAAGGATGCTTGAACGGCCACAGGATACATTCTTTGTCTCTAATCAGGACTTTTCTCTGCTTGTTGGCTTGACTCTGCCGGCTGGCTTTCTCCATACAATGAAACACATGGCCACCAGCAGCTCCTCAATTTTATAATCTGTAAATTCTCTTATAAGAGAGGGACTGACATTATTTTTTCACTTATAGTTCAGAAAATCCCAAGTACCTACCTTTGACCTGTTAGCAGTGGTCAGGACAAGAAATCAGAGGCTTGGACCTGTCCCTGGCTGGTCATCTGTGTTGAGCCATAAGTCTTTCTAGAATCACATGGTGAGAAGAGGATGCTGTTCCTAGAAGGGTGTTGTTGGGCAGACCAAACACTAGATATCCAGAGCCCCCTGCTTTATACTCTGAAAGTTAGGGAAAGCCCTGGAAGATCATTTTATCAAAGCTATTTAGAATTGTGGAGCAAATTCTACTGACTGGTGGCAAGACCACAGACAGCGATTATAATTAGGGCCCCTGAAGATATTTGAAGCTCTAGTCTGTACCAATTCTGAAGTTTCTGTTTGGTGCTTTCAAACTTGTCATTCCCTCCCATCCCTGCCATCCTTGACTAGATCCAGAGAGGTTGCTTACTCTTCTGTCAGAGTTTTCAACCTTCTGTAAAGTAGGAGGGTGGTGTTTTAAAATAAAAACATTTAAAATCCAACACACAAAGCAAAAGTACATGTTTGTGAATTCATGAAAATGTAGTAATAGGGGCTGGCCCTGTGGCTGAGTGGTTAAGTTCGTGCACTCCGCTTTGGCAGCCCAGGGTTTTGCTGGTTCAGATCCTGGGCGTGGACATGGCACAGCTCATCAGGCCATGCTGAGGTGGTGTCCCACATAGAGGAAATAAAGGACCCACAATAGTGTGTACAACTATGTATTGGGGGGCTTTGGGGAGAAGAAAAAAAAAAGAAAAAGATTGTCAACAGATGTTAGCTCAGGGCCACTCCTTAAAAAAAAAAAAAAGTAGTAATACATTACAACACAGACTAAAGGGACACACACCAAATTCATGACCGTGGTGACCTCTGGGCAAGGAGGATGGGGAAGGGAGTTGAAAATACAATAGAAGTTTCAACTTTATCTGTTGTGTGTTATTACTTTTATTTCTAAAATAACTGAGGGGCAAATATGACAGTGTCGTGTGTGTATGATTAAATGTTTTCCCCCCAATTTGTAGAAAAAATTAACATATAAATTATAAGAATAATTCCTCAAGATCCAGCTGGCCTTGGTTGCTTGGAACTTCCCTCCAGCAGCGTTAGGAGGCAGCGTGGCATAGAAGAGCTCACAGCCTGTGGAGCCGGCAGCCTCGCCAGCTTCTGGTTCCACATCCTGACCCGCTCGCTTGCTCCGTTGAGCAAGTCATTTCATCAGTTTCTCCGTTTGTGAGTTACTACAAAAAGTACTTTTTATATTATCAAAATTTCTACCTTACTTGTGATGTTTTAAAAAAGTTAATACATACAAAATGCTTGGACCAGAATCTAGTACATAGTAAGCACTCAATAAATATTAGCTATTATTCATGTTATTAATAGGGACAGGAATGAGTTCTAATCATGGGTATGTTTTCTTGTTTTATTTTTAAAAGCTTTATCTCATTTCAACTTGATAAGGTAGATATTTTATCATGGGGGTGGAAATGAGAATCAGTGAAGTTAAGTAACTTGATTAAATGCCAACAGTTACCAAATGATTGAGCTGGATTAGAACCAAGCTCTGGAACCCCAGCACCCTGGCTTTTAACCTCTACATTCATTACCACCAGCAATTAGGTCTTATCTTTCCTAAGCAACTTCCAAAGGAATCAGAAAAAAAGTCATAAACTGCTAAATTTAGCTTAATGACATATGATTTAGAATTAGGAATATAGGAAAATACATGTGGGTAAGCAAAGGGCAATTTAAAATTTTAGCATTTTGATATACAATATAAAGTATCTACTATGTGCTAGACACTATGCCAAGTGCTTTACAGAAACTTTATTATACTAAATCTTACAACTCTGCACGTAGGCATTCTGTTTCTTTTTTAGAAATGAGAAATGAGTCTCAGATGTTATATAACTTGTGCAGGGTCATATAACTCCTAAACGGAATTCAAAACGTTGACTGCCATGGCGCCATCACCACATTTTTTCATCCAGCTGAACCACATTTCTCCCACGATTAGTTGTTTGTAATTTGCTTTTGATGTAGACACATATATCCCGTTTTACTCATCTGATAATTTTGTGGTTTCCTCATAGTTTACAAAAATTGAAGGCAAGCAGCATAGAAAACATTTAATCAGGGCGACTTTCTGCAGCTAAGCAACATAAACCATTTTGTAATAATGCGAAATATAATCCTTAAATTTTTTCAACTTGTTTTTTCTAAGGAGAAAAATATACCTATGTCTGGCCCATTGAAATGTAGTAAATATAAAGGCTAAGATTTAAAAATTGTCCATTCTGGCTTGGTAGACTTTGCCCCCATTTAACGTAAAACTGTTACCATTTTGTTTCTTATAGAACGTGCTGGTACAGGGCGCTAACTTTATTTTATGAAATGAGGATTTTCAGGGCCTTTTCCTATCCTGAAGGAAAATGCCTGGTGTGTATTTCGTCACCACTGTGCTTGTCTCAGCATGAGATTCACACTGTCCTACTTTGAGTAGATCTAAAAATATTATCGTGGTATGTCACTCTTAGTCTTTTGTACATGTTGTCATAGTTAAAAACAACATATATGTGTGTGATACACAGATGGGAGCATCCTCACAGTGAGACAATGTATATGTGTGTGTGTGTGTGATACACAGATGGCAGCATCCTCACAGTGGAACAGTATATACGTGTGTGTGTGTGATACACAGATGGCAGCATCATTACACTGAAGCAGTGCACGCTTCCTGATTTATCATCCTGAGCCCAGTATGTCCCTGAGCATCCAGGTGGTGTGATGGAGAGTGATCACATCTTCCTCTTTCCTCAGGTGATCAGACTCTGAGAATTTGGGACGTGAAGTCAACGGGAGTCAGAATTGTGGTTCCAGCACATCAGGCAGAAATTTTGAGTTGTGACTGGTGTAAATACAATGAGGTACCCTGTCTGGCTCTGACCTGAACTGCTGAGCCCTTCCTAATGTTGAAATGTTCTAGATTTTATTTTATCTTTGTTTATGTGGACTTTGGTCATGTTTATGGGCCATTAAGTTAAATTCAGTCCCTTTCATTTCTAATTGATGATTGTGAGTGACCTGCATTAGCATTAATTGGATTTAAGGGCACATAAAACAGGCTTAATAAGAAACAGAAATTCTCAAAGTTCAACAGTGCAGCCTTACTTGTTTGTTTGGCAAATTGCTTTACAATTTATGTAATTTTTTCTTTATTGTTCATAACCCCACCAATTTGTATCATCTTTTTCTTTCATTTCTTGTTCACTTTGCTCATCAGGCTGCTGAACTATTTGTAACTTGATTTTTAATTTGACACTTCATCAGTTTTTAAAATTTTCTGTTTCATCTTCCCATATAAGCGTAACCAAGCTTCAGGCTTCTGTAAGATAGCAGCGTCCATTTGTAACTTTTTGCAAAGCTTCAGTTAACCACATGAGCATACGAATCAGAAACAGAAATCCATTAAATATGTGTTCATATACTGTTTATGTACCTGAAGTTGTCTGTTGACTGTGATGGTTAGGTAAAACATTTGCCTTGTTTTTTCCAAGTTTTAAATTAATTAATGAAAGTTAAGAGAACATTGTACTGGCATAGTTCTTTAAATAAAAAGAAATAAAATAGGTTAAAAGAAAATATAGTACATATTCAGTAATAGACTTTAAATAAAAATTTCAATGCTGATACCTACAGTTCAGATCTCTCACATCATAAATGAATTTTTCACATAGGAAAATGAAACTGTGGAGTATATGTTATACTTTTGGGAATTCTAAAAAAGATGCTGATAGACACTTGAGAGTGGTTAAAAACAATTTTGTTCTGGGGCCGGCCTGGTGGCGGAATGGTTATATTTGTGCACTCTGCTTCAGCAGCCCGGGGTTCCCTGGTTCAGATCCCAGGTGCAGACCTACACACTGCTGGTCAAGCCATGCTGTGGTGGCATCCCACATACAAAGTAGAGGAAGAGTAGCACAGATGTTAGCTCAGCGGCAGTCTTCCTCAGACAAAAAAAAAGAGGGTTGGCAACAGATGTTAGCTCAGGGCCTATCTTCCTATAGGATATATATTTTTTTCTAAGTTACTGGAACTTTTCTTCAAGTGAGCTTATCCTGAAGCCCAGCACACTGAGCCAGTGAATTACTGCTGTGGTTGCTGTGAGACAGGGCTGACTGTGGACCCAGCACTTGGCCTGTTCAGCCGGGAACACTGGGTTCACCTAGGGCTCTAGGCAGCAGGATTTGTAAAGCCTGACTTGGTAGGAGACTTATAGCCCTGTCTGCGTGGATTCTCAGGCATGATCAGATATTGTATTAAGACATGGCCCATGAGAGTTGGGAACAATGATTGACTTACAGTTAGAAAACATAAAAATGTAATTTATACCTTTGCTCTTTCAAATATTCCTAAATTAACAGTGCTTTTGCCTTTTAATGCCTGGTCAAACCTCAGAGCATGCTGAAGAGAAAGTGAGCTCATTAGTAAGGCATTGTTTTTATCCCTTACGTGCTTATTTATTAATCCTACTAAAGGCGGGTTGGAGAGTCCACCATGCTATTGGGGCCTGGGCCTTTTTCTGCTGTGTGTAGTGTTCCATCAAATGCATAAAGCATGTTGAGTTCCGTTTCTCCCAAGTCATATTAATTTTTGCTTTTTGATATGTGTTTTGATTTTTTCCATACTTGTCATATAACTTCTCAAGAATGACTCCTGGGTTCAGATTAAGTGATTACTAGAAAATAGATATCGTTTCTAGTAGGAGAGCCTGGATACTGCTTAATTGCCAAGAAGTCACTGTTGACTTGTCTCTGACTTGTTTTCAGAATTTGCTGGTGACAGGGGCAGTCGACTGTAGTTTGAGAGGCTGGGACTTGAGGAATGTGCGACAGCCAGTGTTCGAGCTTCTTGGTCACACCTATGCTATTAGGAGAGTGAAAGTAAGTTTCTGTCTTTTCTCTTCATATGTAGAATATAAATAGGAACACAATCAATGAAGTATATGTAAAAGGTGTTTAGAGGTTGGGGTTGATTCTTTTTGGGCATATTTTTGTTACCCAATTAATGATGATAAACACTGAAAACTAAAATTAGGTAAAATATTTGAATAATTATTGAATGAAGTAGGACAGCATAGCCAATCAGTACTTAAGGTTAAATAAAAATGTTTTTCATGCTGTCATCCTCAATCTACTGTTCCTTTTAGTACTTTTTAACTATAGTAATTTACTTCTGGTTTTACATTCTTCATAGTTTTCCATTCAGTTGGAAGGTCTCTTTACCTTGTTGAAACTCATATGGAGAGATGGTTAATTCTTTCTTTTCTTCAATGTGATAACATATATGAATGTTCACAAACATTTGGGGTATAGAAAGTTTTCCACTCTGCAAACAGCAGAGGATGAGATAAAAATGACTTTTTTCTGCTGCTCCCAAGAAATTTGTCTGGTTATAAGATGACTGAAGTTAGTGTCCCAGCTTTTATGTAGGTGAGTTTTGCTAAGTCACTGTGGAAAACATCTTAAGTGACATCTCCCAATTTCATTCTTTGTTTTATTACTTAAAGAGTAAAAAAAGCACCTTAATGATCTTAGCAGTAAGATAATTATGCTATTCCTATTTCAAAAATTCTGAATTTCAGTTAAATTAATATTTGAACTTTTACTGGCTGCAACTCAGCATATGAGACACAGTGTCCTGTTTGTTTAACGACACAGGTTTTAGTAGCTGAAAAATATTTTCTATGTATGTTTCATAGTGCTTCTGAGACTGAAATTGGTTAACGTAGTGAAAATATTTTGCAAACTATAAAGCGTATTCAAATGTAGTTGTGTCTGTGTTTATAACTATTAAAGTACTGGTGAGAAAAACACTGAAGAAATATAATTGCAAAGGGCAGCCTATTGAAGTATGTTTATTACTTATCCAAAAGATATTATTGGTCTCTAAGTTTGCAGTTTTTATTCTTGATATCATTTTTCATGAGCTATGATATACAAGTAACAAAAATTCTTTTACAGATATTTTTATTTAACATGTAAATGTTTATTTGATACTTGTGTGTATAGCAATCCTTATATGTAGTCATAAAATTGGTAAATTACATGTTTGTACTATCACATACTTAAAACCCTTGTATTCTGTAGGTGTCATTTTTGGATAGCCAATATGAAATTGTATTTAATTTTTCTAGAATACAATACTTTGGGAATATTTTCTTCTAAATAAGCTCTAAAAAGCCTGAGTAATGGTTTTTCTTTGGAGAATGTAAAAATAATGGTTTTTTCTATAGATGATACTTAAAAGGCCAGAAGATTTTTGCCTTGAATTAAAGTATAAGGTTCAGGAAAGCGTATTTTAAGGACAGCCCTGACTAATCTTTCATTTATTGTGACGTTCATGGGAATGACCATATGCAGCAGCATGGTATAATTATGGCTAACTTCAAAAGGCTGTTTTTGTTTTGTAGTTTTCACCATTTCATGCTTCCGTGCTGGCCTCATGCTCCTATGACTTTTCTGTAAGGTACAGTGCTTTTGATAAGTTTCATTATAAAATACCAAGTAGCATTTGCATCTTTGCAACTTTTGTGAAAGACAATATGTTTATCTTACTAATGTGAAAATAATCTGAACTAGGCACATTTGAATATTTGCAACTGGGATTAATATTACATTTTTTCTGTTTTTATGATCCTACCACATATGTGAGTACATTCTTTGCTATTTAAGGATTCGCCTGGCTGCTCTGTTTAAAAGCGTTTTTTCTTGACAGTTTTTCATAACACCTTCCTATGGTATACATTGCATAGCCAATATCTTTTAAATTTAGTTTTTAAAAATTGTGAAATTTCATTTCTTCAGGCATAATCATATGAATCTTAAGACTAAGATTGTTATAGATGGGAAAAAGATCATCATGAGTAAACGTGTTTGTGAATGTGTATATATGAATGTGTGTGTATGTGTATATCTGTGTGTGGATATATATGTCTGTGTGTGTGTCTCTCTCTCTATCCATGCCTCTTAATTCCAGTCCCACACTACACACTACATACGTTCATTCTACTTTTCCTCTTTTTCCAAATTTATAACTCCTGATTCACCTTATTCACAACATATTTACTCATTTGCTAATCCCTAAATGCTCAGAAAATAGCCTTGGAATTGCAAAGCCATGCTGCTGCAAAAAAGAGTCTTATAAGTAGAGTTCAACATTTGTTTAGAGCTTTTATTTTCTGGTAGAAATACTGTGTTTAAAAGTTATTTAGGTTAGTTCTGCTCTCCTCCATCAGTGTGGTTATATTATTCATTGGAAACATAGCCTGATTCATTTGTTTCTGTTTCTATTCAGTTTTAGGATTTTCTTCCCATCCTTGTTGGTTTTGTCCATTTTTCTGAGCAGACATTTCTGAACAAATGTTCACCTGGTTCCCAAAGTCAAGATGTGGATAAAGGCCTGTACAGGAATGTGTCGCTCTCCCCGCCACTTCCTCTGTTCTTTCTTCCCATTCAGCAGGCGCCCACACTCTGTAGGTAACCAGTCTTGCTCGTGTGAGTAGACACATGTATATTTTCTTATTTCCCACTTTCTCACTCAAGAAGTAGAATCCTCTGGATACTTTTCAGTTTTGCTTTTTTCACTTAAAATATATCCTGGAAATCACTCTGTATCAGTTCATAGAGCTCTTTCTCATTCTGCATGATACTCCAATACATGGATGTCCTATAATTTATTCATCTACCCTCCTACATATAGGCATTTAGCTAGTTTCAAATATTTTGTAAACCAACAATGCCACAATGAAGAATAATCTTGTATGTATGTTTCTTCACATTACTTGAGTAGAAACTTCAGGCTGTATTCCCAGAAGTGGGATTTGCTGGGTTAAAAGGTAAACATATATATATAGTTTTGTTAGATAGTCCCAAATTCCCATCCATAAGGAATATACCAATTTCCATTACAAGCAGCAGTGTTTGAGCGTACATGTTTCTCTACTGTCTAAAGATCATTGATTCTTTAGGGTTTTCCAGGTATGTGATCATGTCATCATGTACCTGGAACAAGGATAGTTTTATATCTTCAGTTCTAATTCTGATACCTCTAATTGGTATCAAATTGGTTTAGCACATACTTCTGTTACAATGTTAAATAGTATTATAAATGTCATTTCTGATTTTGTATATTTGTGATTTCTTTGATTAAGTTATCTAATAGTATGTTTATTTTCTTATTTTTCTTCAGCAAACAAGATTTTGATTTATTAATTAGAATTGCTGAGTTTTTATTCGCTGTCTCATTAATTGCTTCTTTGATCTTAGTACTTTCTTCTTGCTTTCTTTGTAGTTTTTCCAACTTTTGCACTGGGAATTTATTTATTTTTACTTTTCCATTTTATTAATAAAGTGTTTAAGGCTATGAATTTTCTTCTGGTTACTATTTCAGTTGTAGCCCACAAATTCTGATATATAATGTTTTCATTGTCATTTAAAAAAATTTTGTAATTTCTATTTTTTCCCCTTTCTCCCAAGAGTTGTTAAATAGGAAATTAATTTCCAGATGAAAGTATCTTTTAATTTTTAAAAATTTGTTAGTAATTTCTAGTTTTATTGCATCATGATTAGGGAATACTGTTTTTAGCCATTCTATTTTATGAGACATATTGATATTTTGGGGAGGATCTAATAAATGGTGAGTTTTCGTGAATGATCCATATGTAATTGAGAAGAAGGGGTGTTCTCTATTATCATGCTTTGAAGTTCAATACAGAACCATAAGCTTTACTAATTGTTCTTTAGATCTTCTGTATCCTTTTAATTTTTGGTCCACTTAATCTGTTTTGTGCTGAGAGTGAGATGTTAAAATCTCCTATTATCTATGAACTTCTATCCGTGTCTGTCTGCCTCTTTTGTAGTTTCATTTCATGAAGGCAGATGGACTGTTATTTGCCACATGGATACTTAGAGCATCCACGTGGTGAATTGAGACTTTTTGCACAAAGTTAGTGCTTTTTAGTTTTAATTGTGGTTGGTCTCTCACCAGTATCATGAACTAAATAAAAAATCTTTTTATTTTAATCTATTCACATTTCTTGATAAAAACATGTTTTGTATCAAGTCTGTCATATTATGTTAATTATGTGTGTTATGTTACATTTGCTGTTTATGTGATGCGTTTTTTATTGTTTTGTTTTTTGCTCTTTGAAACATTTTTTGTATATTTAGGTGTTTAATTTTTTTAGTGGTTGCCTTTGATCTTATAACTTTTTAATACCTTTATTCCCTTGTGTTTTAAAATTTAGCCATTTGTTATCTGGTTTGTGAGTTTTTAATGGTATTTATTTTAACTTCTACTTACTGCATGTACAACAACCAGTGAGCTTATTCTACTTTCCTTTTTCCCTCTCCCGTCTCCATCAGATTTTGAGTTGTTTTATTTATACTTTGTCAGAACGTGCAACATAGAACATAGAGCACACACCATATGATATGTTCTTCTTCCTCTTTTCCCCACCTTTGTTTTCATCTTAGATACGTAACTAACTATATTAAAAACTCACCATCAGTCTTTTTGCTGGAATCTGCATGTCATCTCTTGGTTTGATGACGTTTATCTTGTGGTAGATTCCTCACCAACAGCTGATGGGAACAGAATTCTCAGGGGCTCTCGCATGTTTGAAACTACTTCCTGTAGCCCCGTTGTTCAGAGCGCAGCGTAGTGGAATATAACTCCTTGACTGACAGTTCTTCTCTGGAGTTCTTTGAAAATGCTACCTAATTTGTTGTTTTTGAGAATTCCGATGCCTGTCTCATTCTCTTTGTCTTTGTCAGTTATTTGATCTTTCTTCCTGGGGATCCTGATTGTTGTGGTTCGCTTTTCCCAGCTACAGGTTAAAGCGTTCAATAGCTTCTTTAAATGTGTAGATTCAGGTCCTATTTTATTTCCAGAAAGTTATTTTGGATTGTAATTTTAAGTATTCTGATCTATTGTTTTATCTTCTAGAAAGTCTTCAGTTATACAGAAACTGAATCTCTTTTACCTGTCTTTTGTGTCAGACACTTTCTCTCTGATACTTTTTACTTCTTTCTTTATCTCATTTTCATTCTCTTGGTTATTTTTCTGCTGTCTTCACTGCCCTTGTTGTGTTTGTGTGTAAATTTATTCTTTGGGCACCATGTAATTTTGTCTTCATTTCTGATATGATTTTGCCATTTTTCTTCTATTTCTTTCTTGTGTTCAGTCAGCTCTATTTCACTTCTTTCTGTTATTTTTTTAAAATTGAGGTCTGTATATTGTGAAATTTCAGGTGTACATTATTATTTTTCAGTCACCACGTATATGTGCCCCTTTCCCCCTTATGCCCACCCCCACCCCCTTCCCCTCTGGTAACCACTAATCTATTCTCTTTGTCCCTGTGTTTGTTTATATTCCACATATGAGTGAAATCATATGGTGGTTATCTTTCTCTGGCTTATTTCGCTTAACATAGTACCCTCAAGGTCCATCCATTGGTTGCAAATGGGACAATTTTGTCTTTTTTTAATGGGTGAGTAGTATTCCATTGTATGTGTATATACCACATCTTTATCCATTCATCAGTTGGTGGGCACTTAGGTTGCTTCCACGTCTTGGCTATTGTGAATAATGCTGCAATGAGCATAGGGGTGCATAAGTCTTTTTTACTTGTTGATTTCAAGTTCTTTGGATAAATACCCAGTACTAGGATAGCTGGGTCATATGGTATTTCTACTTTTAATTTTTTGAGAAATCTCCGTACTGTTTTCCATAGTGGCTGCACCAGTTTGCAGCCTCACCAGCAGTATATGAAGGCTCCCTTTTCTCCACATCCTCTCCAACATTTATTTTTTGTCCTGGTAATTATAGCCATTCTGGCAGGTATAAGGTGATATCTCATTGTAGTTTTGATTTGCATTTCCCTAATGATTAGTGAGGTTGAACATCTTTCCATGTGCCTGTTGGCCATCTGTATATCTTCTTTGGAAAAATGTCTGTTCATATCCTCTGCCCATTTTTGATCAGGTTGTTTGTTTTTTGTTGTTGAGTTGGATGAGTTCTTTATGTATTTTGGAGATTAACCCCTTGTTGGATATATGATTTGCAAATATTTTCTCCCAGTTGGCGTGTTGTCTTTCCATTTTGTTCCTGATTTCCTTTGCTGTACAGAAGCTCTTTACTTGGATGTAGTCCCATTTGTTTATTTTTTCTTTTGTTTCTCTTGCCTGAGTAGACGTGGTATTCGAACAGATGCTTCTAAGACTGGTGTCAAAGAGTGTACTGCCTATATTTTCTTTTAGGAGTTTTATGGTTTCACATCCTACCTTCAAATCTTTAATCCGCTTTGAGTTAATTTTTGTGTGGTGCAAGATAATGGTCTACTTTCATTCTTTTGCATGTGGCTGTCCAGTTTTCCCAACACCATTTATTGAAGAGACTTTCCTTTCTCCATTGTATGTTCTTGGCTCCTTTGTCGAAGATTAGCTATCCATAGATATATGGTTTTG